AGGCACATAGTAAATACTCAGTATTTGAAAGCTGTTACCATTTTCTCTTGTTCTGCCATTTCATTTTCACAGTTGAGGACCCTAATGGCCAGAAAGAAAGCACAGCTCATTAGCTGTCCACCCGATCAGAGCTACTTCCCAGGCAGGGCTGTGCCAAAGGCACGTCCTTAGGGATCAAGACCCTGCATTAACTGTGCTGACAGCAAGAACCAGCAGCATCATGCTAGCTGTGGGGTTGGAGCCTTGAGGATATGTGCAAATCAAGGCATGACTTCCACCCAAATGAGTGCCCAAAAGAGAAAGTTCCTTCCTGCTGGAATTATTTATTTTGTGATTAACAAAGACTGTGGAAGCCCTTTCTGATATTTTGGCTTAGAGGCTCAGAGTTTAAACTTGTAACAGCCATGGACAAGGGTTTATTATGGGCCTGTTCTTACTTGCTGAATTGAATTCATTATTATGATGCCTAAGCAACTAGGGGTCAGGAGCTAAGTACCTAAGGCAGACAGCTAGGATTTTGCGATCAGAGGACAAAGTGTCCGGGAGTGGAGAGGCTTCAAAAACTGAGCCCTGTTTCCAGGCTCTGTAATGTCCAGACCTCAACTTGCTTTGGAGCCGACTTCACCTCTAAGTATTCAGGGAGGGGTCTGGCACTTCAACAGGCCCCACCAAGTCCTGGGCAGCAGCCCCAGTTTCTGGTGACCTTCGTGCAACTTTTGGGTTGTGCTTTGCTTTGTTTTCTTGTTTGTTTCTTCATGGCAGGGTGGCCTTTCCCTGCTTCTGGGTGGGAACTGAGGGGAGGGAGGATGGTTTGCTCCCATCTCCACAGCTGTGTTTACACTTCCCTGTCAGGGACTGTCTGGGGCCCAGCCTTTCCTCAGTCCGCTGTGTCCCTTCTGAAAATTGCTATTTGATATCTCTGTGGGCATTACAAGGGAGGGGCACAACAGGCCAAGGGGTCACTGTCCGAAGGGGGCTGAGGTTGGAAGGCAAGAATACTAGTGCAGAGAGCTCTGTTTGAATTCTGAGAAGCATCATCTCCTTCCCTTTCTACCAGTGGCCTGAGGACCAGCAGGGGACGAAAGTACACTTAGAACTCCCAGAAGGACTAGAACACGTGACATGTCATTTCTAATCACGGGCTTGAACACAATCTTGCTTTGTGATGGGGATGTGAGTATACAGAGCAGAGCAGTCTTCCCTAAGGCTTCGCTGGGCCCAGTGGTCAAAGATGTAGCATGTTAAAGCCAAGAAGATTATGCTAAAATACAAGCAAATTAAAAAGGATTTAAGAAAATGGTCAAGTAAATAATTCTCTTCTTCTCCAGGGAGCAAGTTGAGCTGGTATTAATCAGTATACTAGGGTTGCTGGACTCTGGGCCAAGCCCAGGAGAGTAGCTGCCAAGGCAAATCAGGCATCAGGTTTCAAAAATTAAACACATAATTTTATTTTTCTGCAATAGGGAACTTTCAGAAAAAGAACCAGCCCTATTAGGCTACTCAGCACACTTTGTCCAGTTTCTTTCAGCCCCAGAGGCCTCCAATTTAAAGCAAGATGAGCAACTGGAAGCCAGGAGTGACACAGTTATTCCCTTCTCCCATTAACTGCCTGGGGGTGGGGCTGGAAGGAGTGGGGCAGGGGTGATTATACTGTTTTTCAAAGGTCCAGTTGCTGACCACTTGCCAGAAGTTTTTCTACGAATTTACAGGACAAAGACCTGAAGGGTTGCAAAAGAAAAAGAATTATAGAGGAAGAGCTAGCTAAAGTTTGGCTGATAATGTCTCAGGAATTGTCAGCTAAGAAAGGGTCTGGTCTCAGGAAAAACTCTCCCATCACAATAAGTAGGAACCAACTGGCAAACAAATTTTCCTCCAAGAACCTCACGCTTATTGGTGATGTGGAAAGTTGTTTTTATTATTATTGTTGTTATTACTATTGAGACAGGTTCTCATTCTGTTGCCCAAGCTGGAGTGCAGTGGTGCAATCACGGCTCACTGCAGTATTGACTTCCCAGGTTCAGGCAAAGGGAACTTAGGTTAGTCTGTAGATCAGATTCTGATCTACAGCTTTGGCATAAATCCCTTCAACTTCCTTTCCACCTCAAAATATTTTTGTAACCATACTTTGTTGTGTCAAAATGTGTTTGTATCTACTCTCTTGTTATGTGGCATCCTCTCCTAAGGCAGTGTTGTCCACTTCTGTGGCTTCAGTTACCATCAATATGTTGATGGTTTCCAGATCTCTCACTAGTCTCTCTCCTGACATTCAGATCTTCTGAACAGCTCTCCTTAGCTAAAGCCACAGTCTTTCTCCCAACAATTATTAATGTTGTGCAGTGCCTCTCAAACTTCACTACACATTGTAATCACCTGGATGCTTTAAAAACTCTTGAAGCTCAGGCCATACCCTAGATCAATTAATCAGATTTTTGGGTGTGGGAGGTGGGCATCAGTAGTTATTAAAGCTCCTTGGCCTGGCGCGGTGGCTCACGCCTGTAATCCCAGCACTTTGGGCAGGCGGATCACCTGAGGTCGGGAGTTCAAGACCAGCCTAACCAACATGGAGAAACCTCGTCTCTACTAAAAATACAAAGTTAGCCGGGCATGGTGGCTCATGCCCGGGAGACTGAGGCAGAAGAATAGCTTGAACCCAGGAGGCGGAGGTTGCGGTGAGCCGATGGTGCCATTGCACTCCAGCCTGGGCAACAAGAGTGAAACTCCATCTCAAAAAATAAAAGCTCCTCAAGCTCCCCAAGTGTGAGCCAAGTTTCAGAACCACTTATCTAGAAGGCAGCGGGAATAGAAAAGAATGCCAGTGTAAATTGCAAGTATAAAGGAATATTTTCCTTGATTTGGTAGTTAAATGGATAGGGGCAAGGGAAAAACAGCAAAGTCGAAGTTTTTATATGAAGAAAAGAACACTAAATCTGGATGGAATCCAGCAACCTGAGTTTAAGACCTGACAGAATTATTCATCTGTGTAAGGCAAGTCTTTTAACTCCTTTATGCCAGAATAACCTGATGTATAAACTGAAGTTGCTCTACATAATTCTTAGAGTTTTTATGAAGATTACTTGAAAAAATGAACATTACAAGCTTTTCTAATAAAACACTTTGAGACAAAATCAAAATCAAGATGGTATTATTTTGCATTTTAATTTTTAATTTTAAAAATTTATATTTTGAAATAATTTCAGATTTACTAGAGTTGCAAATATGGTAGAGTTCCTATATGTCCATCAAACTTCCTCAATTACAATGATTAAAACCAGGAATAAGATTGATAAAATACTATGAACTAAAATAGAGATTTTATTCTAATTTCATCAAATTATCTCACTGGTGTTCTTTTTCTGGACCAGGATTCAATCCAGGATCACACATTACATTTAGTTGTCATATCTCCTCAGTCTACCAATCTGAGATGGTTCCTCACCCCTTGTCTTTCATGATCTTGACACTTGGAGATACTGGCCAGTTATTCTGTAGATTGTCTCTCATTTTGGATTTGTCTGATGTTTCCTCATAATTCAATTCAGTTTATGCAGGCTGGGCATGGTGGCTTATGCCTGTAATCCCAGCACTTTGGGAGGCCGAGGTGGGTGGATCACCTGAGTCAGGAGTTCGAGACCAGTCTGGACAACATGATGAAATCCCATCTCTACTAAAAATACAAAATTTGCCGGGTGTAGTGGTGCATGCCTGTAAATCCAGCTACTTGGGAGGCTAAGGTGGGAGAATCGCTTGAATCCAGGAGGCAGAGGTTGCAGTGAGCCGAGATTGCACCATTGCACTCCAGCCTAGGCAACAAGAGCGAAATTCCATCTCAAAACAAACAAACAAACAAAATACAAAAAAAATCAGTTTACGCGTATTTGTCAAGAATGCCACAGAAGTGATTTTGTGCGCTTCTCATCGCATCATGTTGAGAGGGACTTGGTAATACCTCTCAGCGGGGGGCAATGGCTCATGCCTGTAATCCCAGCACTTTGGGAAATCAAGGTGGGAGAACCGCTTGAACCCTGGAGTTCAAGATCAGTCTGGGCAACACAGCAAGACCCTGTCTCCTTAAAAAGAAGAGGGACGCCGGGAGTGGTGGCTCAAACTGGCAATCTCAGCACTTTGGGATGCCGAGGCAGGCAGATCACCTGAGGTCAGGAGTTTGACAGCAGCCTGGCCAATACACTGAAACCCCATCTCTACTAAAAATACAAAAATTAGCCAGGCGTGGTGGCACGAGCCTGTATTCCCGGCTACTCGGGAGGCTGAGGCGGGAGAATTGCTTGAGCCCGGGAGGCAGAGGTTGTAGTGAGCCTGAGGTGGGAGAATTGCTTGAGCCCCGGAGGCAGAAGTTGTAGTGAGCCGAGATCTCGCCACTGCACTCCAGCCTTCTGTCACGCCCCACCCCTACTCCGGCAAAAAAAAAAAAAAAAAAAAAAAAAAAAAAAGAAAAAAAAAAAGGAGAAGAAAACAATACCTCTCATGACTACTGATGTTAACTTTGATCACTTTGTTAAGGTGGTGTCTGCCAGATTCTTATCTGTAAATTTGCTATTTTTTACCTTTGTAACTAGTAGGTGTCTTGTGGGGATTTATTTTGATACAAGGCTACAATTTTGATTCTAAGTGACTAGAAGAACTATGGACGGAAATAGGGAGATTAGACGTAAATAAAGGGCTTAGAGCCCATAGACCGGTGTCTGGGGAACTGGTAGGGGTGAAGCATCGGTATGAAGGTGCTCTGGGTTGGCTTCAAATGCTGAAGTGAGATGTGGCTTGCAACCAGCGCGTGACGATGGCGCATCCGCTGAATAGGGTCTTCAGGAAAATATTAGTGGCTCTGCGAAGGTTTCCCCAGAGCCCTTGCCTTCCCCTGCCAGCGTCGCTTTGGAAGCCGTCGGGGCGGCTGCACCCGTCAGGACTCCTCAGTGCGGGTTTTTGGCGGCAAATGACCGACGTGCGACCGCGCGATACGAGTGGGTCAATGCGCACGCGCCGACAGGAGGCGCGGGGCGGGGCGCGGCGCAGGGGTGGGGCCGCAGCGCGCATGCGTCCTAGCTGCGGGTCCCTGCGGCTCGGGATGGAGGGTGAGTGAGTAAACAAGCCTGGGCCGAGCGGTGGGGCCGGGCCTCCTCCCCTCGCCGCCCTGGGCCTGAGGGAGGGAGAGGCGGAGGGATCAGGGAATTGGAAGGAATTCGAGGGACACACTGCCTCTCTGGCCGGGGGTAGCAGGCGCCCCTTCTCATTCCGAGGGCTGGGGGAATGGGGGCGACGGGGCGAGGGAGCCCCAGGCGAGGACAGCGTCTGGGACTACGAGGGCTGTGTGCCCGGGAGGAGGAGCGGCGGGGGCGGGCTCGGGGACGGGGAATCCCGTTGGACCGCGGGGTGGGACGATGGGCGGGAGCCCCAGCGCCCAAAGGGCGCGGGTGGGCGGTGGCACCTGCGGGGGCCTTTAGCGAGGTGGACTCTGGGGACCTGGAGCTGTGCTTGTGGGGGGCTAGAGACCGGGGCTAATCTTGCGATGGCTTTCGGGGCTGTTGAGGAGGGGGTAGCAGTAAAAACAGGGCCGGGACTAGGGTGAGGTGAGTGAGTCAGGCTCCCAAGGCACAAAGTGTAAAGGAATACTGACTCAGGGTCGTGCAAATGCAGTGAGCGCCTCCTCACGTGCGTCCTGGGTGCCTCGGTCCCCTTGCCCTGGGCCTGGCCCTGAGCAAGAATCTCCTTCACTCCAGACTTTTGGTCTCACGCCAATGATCGCTCACCCCCACCATTCTCCCGAGGATCAAATGATATAAATAAAAGTGCCTCGAAGCAAAGACAAGGTGTTGTATTTCGGACATGCCTGTTAGGAAATGTGGGACAAACTTTTATTTCAATAAAAAGTGACTACTGAGGAATTGTTTCTTGAGCAGGGAAGGGAAGGGATGCCTGAAGGATGTTACTGCCCCCAGGGAATGTGAAGGAATATGGAGGGTGGAATGTAGGGTTGTAAATGGTGTAGCCCAGGCCGATAGGAACCTGACGCTTGGCAGGGGAGGATGAAGTCAAAGAGCTCAGGCAGACTAGCAATTAGGGGTGTGCAAGGATGGCATTGAAAACGTGGGTCTCCTCCGCGTTTGCTGCCATGCTGCCGTTGAATAGAAAAATTCCCACACTCAGTGTTTTTTAAGTTTAGGAAGCTGATATTGAAGGAGGTTTCTAGCCTGAGAGGTGCTAACCCTATTAGAGGTTTCTGTGAAAGCTTGTCTATTTTAAGTCTCGGAATCCCCAGATATGCCATTGATAAAAGAGATTACTTACATAGGAGAGAGTGTGTGTTAGGAGATAAGTACTTTAGGCTGGGCTCGGTAGCTCACATCTGAAATCCCAGCATTCGGGAGGCCCAGGCAGGAGAACAGCTTGAGCCCAGGAGTTTGGGATCAGCCCAGGCAATAATAGTGAGACCTCATCTCTACAAAAAAACAAAAAAAACAAAAAAACCCCAAAAAACTAGCCAGGTGTGGTGGACTTCTCCTATAGTCCCAGCTCCCAGCTACTTGGGAGGCTGAAGCAGGAGTATTGCTTGAGACTGGGAGGTCAAGGTTACAATGAGCTCTGATCCTGCCACTGCACTCCAGTCTGGGTGACAGCGCGTGAGACCCTGTCTCAAGGAAAAAAAAAACAAAACTGGGCGCAGTGGCTCATGCCTGTAATCCCAGCACTTTGGGAGGCTGAGGTGGATGGATCATTTGAGCCCAGGAGTTTGAGACCAGCCTGGGCAACATGGTGAAACTCCATCTCTACTAAAAATACAAAAATTAACCAGGTGTGGTGGCACACGCCTGTAGTCCCAGCTACTCGGGAGGCCTGAGGCATTAGAATCGCTTGAACCTGGGAAGTGGCAGTGAGCCGAGATGGCGCCACTGCACACCAGCCTGGGCAACAGAGTGAGACTCTGTCTCAAAAAAACAAAAAAGAGGCCAGGCACAGTGGCTCAGGCCTGTAATCCCAGCACTTTGGGAGGCCGAAGCAGGCGGATCACTTGAGGTTAGGAGTTCGAGAGCAGCCTGGGCAACATGGCGAAACTCCTTCTCTACAAAAAAGTATAAGAATTAGCTGAGTGTGCTGGTGGGTGCCTGTAATATCAGCTATTCAGGGGGCTGAGGCACAAGAATCGCTTGAACCCGGGAGGTGGAGGTTGCAGTGAGCCAACATTGCACCACTGCACTCCAGCATGGGTGACAGAGCAAGATTCTGTCTCCAAAAAAAAAAAGGGAGAGAGAAGTATTTAAAAATGCACATACATAATAGGAGAAAGGACCATTTATAAAACTGTAATAATGCTATCATTGTCAAGGTTTATGCTTAGTGTTTTGTATCACAAACATAATGAGTCAACTCCAAAGGCAGGGATGTATGTTTTATTCAATGATGTACCCCAAACACCTAAAACAGTAACACAAAGTAGACACTACTATTAAGTATAATAGTAGGTGCTCAACATATATTTGTGGAATAAATTGTGGGGAAATTTCTGGCACTGGGAGTCAGGTGATCTGGATGCTAGTGTTGTCAGTAACTGGCAGAGTACTTGTATGTCAATCGTGGAACTTGATGGTAAGGCCCAGCTTAAAATTCCTTAAAGTGTAAATGACTTCTTCATTAGTGTCCTCTGAAACAGCACTAGAGGCCGGGCTTGATGGCTCACACCTATAATCCCAGCACTTTGGGAGGATGAGGCTGGTGGATCACCTGAGGTCAGGAGTTCAAAACCAGCCTGGCCAATATATGGTGAAACCCCATCTCTACTAAAAATACAAAAAATTAGTCAGGCGTGGTAGTAGACACCTATAATCCTAGCTCTTGGGAGACTGAGGTGGGAGAATCGCTTGAACTCGGGAGTGGGAGGTTGCAGTGAGATCACGCCACTGCACTCCAGCCTGGGCATGAAAGAGTGAGACTCCGTCTCAGTCAGGGAAAAAAAAAAAAAAAAAAAGACAACACTAGAATGAGGCTGGAACTAAAAATGAAATTTTACTCCCAAGGAGACATTTGGGAGAAGGGAAAGATGAGAAAAATGTGGTCGGGCTTGTTACTTATATATTTGCCTTTGAATTATACCTTCAAACAACCGATTTCAGTCTAGACATGTGGCTCACGCCTGTAATCCCCGTACTTTGGGAGGCTGAGGTGGGCAGATCACTTGAGTTCAGGAGTTTGAGACCAGCCTGGGCAACATGACAAAACTCTGTCTCTACAAAAACATTACAAAAATTAGCTGGGCCTAGTGGTGTGGGCCTGTAGTCTCAGCTACTCAGGAGGCTGAGTAGGGAGGATTGCTTGAACCCGGGAGGCAGAGGTTGCAGTGAGCCGAGATCAAGCCACTGCATTCCAGTCTGGGCAACAAAGCAAGACCCTGTCTCAAAATCAAAACAAAATAAGAAACTGATTCAGAATATTAATTTTGTCTGTTTTTAATTCCTAGGATCTGAAACCTGGCTTCCTTACTCTATAGGCAACAGTTCCTTCCCTTTGATTTGCTCTTTATATGAAACATGTAACAATTCATGTCATTAAGTATATCTTTTTCTGGTCTTGGACTAAGTTTAAAAAGTTTCACTTTGGGTCCCCCACACTGTGGCTCACGCCTATAATCCCATGTCTTTGGGAGGAGGCCGAGGGATTGATCACTTGAAGCCAGGAGTTTGGGACCAGCCTGTCCAACACGGTGAAACCCCATTTCTACAATTAGCTGGGCCTGGTGGCACACACCTGTCATCCCAGCTACTTGGGAGGCTGAGGAACGAGAATCCCTTGAACCTGGGAGGCGGAGGTTGCAGTGAGCGGAGATGGCGCCACTGTACTCTAGCCTGGGCGACAGAGGGAGACCCTGTCTCAAAAAAAAAGTTTCCACTTTGTTCACTAGTAGCATCCCAGAAAAGATTTGAGGTAGCAACACTAAAAACACACTAATTCCATTTCTACATAGAATAAAATAAAGAGAAAAGAGAGAACAATGTGTGGAGAAAAGTGAAGATAATTAGGTAAGCTGGGATTGAGGGGAAGGGTTAAAAGTTAAAAAAAAAAGCCGGGCGCGGTGGCTCACGCCTGTAATCCCAGCACTTTGGGAGGCTGAGGCGGGCGGATCACGAGGTAGGAGATTGAGATCACAGTGAAACCCCATCTCTACTAAAAATACAAAAAATTAGAGGGGCGCAGTGGTGGGGCCTGTAGTCTCAGCTACTTGGAGGCTGAGCCAGGAGAATGGCGTGGACCCGGGAGGTGAGGCCTTGCAGTGAGCCGAGATCGCGCCACCTGACACTCCAGCCTGGG